TCAATCTTGAAGCAAGTAAAATTCAACAACTATGAAAAAAAACGATATGGTTGTAAATCAATCCCAAAATGAGAAAAAACTCATTTTTTGATAAAAATAAACTCTTTACAAAAAATATCCAAATCTATTACACATAAGCCTCTCCCTCTTAAACACAAATAAAAAAAGGAAAAACTTTATATAGAGCTGAGGCTCTGAACAATCAAATTAGAGCCCACCTCAAAAAATTTCACTAGAAGATGTTGTTTTGATGCTCAAATATCCTCAAATTGATCATCTCGACATCAAGATGCATGAACATGATAAAAAAAATGGATTTCAAGCTTTGGAAATAGTGAAACTTGTAACGCATTTTTGGACCATCAATTCAAGATTTTGAAGTTTTTATAGATCTGCTCGATCTACAGTATTGTTGAAGCTCTAAATTTTATAATTAAAGATGAAAGTATATTTTAAAGCTCTCACAATAGTATTGAAACCACATCTCTCGATACTTTGAATGTCGGCTCTATACAAACCGCACCACTCTTGAAAAAACAAACCAAAAATAACTCTCTCTCTCTCTAATGTGATTGCCCCCTCTTGCTTTTCCTAAAATTCTCCCCAATCATAATTCGACTCTCTCTCCTAGATCCTCCTTTCTATTATTTTCTCTCACTGCACATCCATATATATATATATATATATATGTATATATATTTATTTGAGTAATTCAATACATCTATTTTTTTTTTTTGGGTAATTCAATGAGAATGACATGGCCCTACCCATTTTTTCAATAAATTGAGGAGTTACATTTTGAAGGTGTTAATTGGGGGAATCGGTGGTAGAAATGGATACCACAATATGGTAACTGTTTTCTTCGCAAAGTCTGTGTCCTATGCTTGAGGAGTTAATATTTGTGGTCTCTTAGTATCATGGTAAATACAACTAATTATTAGGAGCCTTGGGAAGGCAAGCAAGATTTGAGTACCATGCAAATTTTTGAAATTTCAAAGATTTAGTTTTACATGCAAATTGAACAAGGAAAACCAGTTCAAGGCATTTTTAATGGGTTTGCATTTTAGTTAGATTCTATTGTAGGAGTTAGAACTATTTGGGGTTTCTATAAAGATCCATTTGTAAAAGGAAAAAGTTTATAAGGTTGCAACTTTAAAATGTAGGATTACAAATGCACATAAAAAATTTATCAGAAAAGGTTGTTTTAATGTTGAAAAACTCTCTCATTGATCACTTCAACATTGAGATGTATAGATATAAAAAAAATAAAAAAAATTTGAGTATCAGAAATAGTGTATCTTGCAACACATTATCTAGACCGTCTATTTTCAAGATTTCCATATGTTTAAAGATCTACTTGATTTTAACTATTTTTAGAGTTTAAAATTTTATAATAGGATATGAAAATAGATTTTCAGATAATCCTAAGAATTTTTCACACCAAAATTACATGTTATGATAAAATTTTGGGGTACGCCTTAATTGGATTGTTTAAAGTTGCAACCTCAAAGAAACCATACACTTGGTAAAATGTTTGACTTACAATTGCTGCAATATAATGTAGAAATAGAAAAAATAAATATACTACAATTAAGATATGTAACTTTTAGTGCCAAAATAAAACTTTATTCAATGATTGAATTCAAAACTTCAAATATTTCTAATGCAAATAGGATGCTATAAATAAATATAAAGTAAGAACTTCTAATCTAAAAATGAATAAATTAGGTTGGGAAGACTTACTAAACTTTGCCTAGTGTCATACTCTTAGGACTTAGTTTATCTCCCATCCAATTACCACACCTATGGCACACTTAACCCTATGGCATTGCTGAATTTCCCTAGGCAATACCCTCTAGAGAATTGGGATTTGAGAGCATAAGCTGGCTCTAGGGTTTTTTTGAAAGCTCTTAAGGCATACCACTATGAGCCACTAAATAAAATGAATGGAATAAGTGGTGAATCCCTTATTTATAGTTTTTCTAGGGTATGGCTATTTTAATTAGAATTTAATTTTACTCAATAGAAATTCTTGACAATTTGTGCGGTGAGAGAGAAAACAAATATGAGCCATCCATCTAAAAAACCAGCTATCACAATTCAATGAGGTATCTTAGGAACCTTATTCCCTAAAATTTTGATCTATGTCTACTTTTAGTCAAATTAGGATAAGATAGGCTTCTAAATAGGAGCCCTGGCCCAATTAAAAATCCTAATCCATATAGGACTCCTAATACAATTACAAATTCTATTTAAACTAGAATTTTGATCTAAGTAGGAGTCCTAGTCCAAGTAGGAATCATAATCGAAATATGATTTCTAATACAATTGCGACTTTTATTTCCATTTGAATTATGATCTACATAAGAGTCCTAGTCCAAGTACGAATCTTAATCCAAACATAAATCTTAATACAATTAGGAATTTTAAAATAAATGATGAATAAATGATATTTAAAATTTAATCAGGAGCTTTCAACCTTACGTGGGGTGTGTGGCCCTCGTAGTCCCCACATCCCACCTCTATGTGGTGTGGCCCTTATGGGCTCCACATCCCATCCCTATGCGGCCTACTCACATGTAGGAGCTGGGTTCTTGGCCCCCGTACATGGATCACACTTAAAACATGCCCCTACTAGATTATAAAATATCAATTTTGCTCTCTTTGGGTGTCTATAGCAGAATATAATTTTTCACAAATTAAAAAATTCTAAAAACTCATATAAGCATAATTAAAGTTGAAAACAATATTTTTAAAGTTCTAAAAAAAAAAAACACACACTTAGAAATACATCTAGGATTGAGTGCCAATGGGTAAAGAAAAGTAACTATCAGGCACTCCGAGCCTATTCTACAACTATCTTCTTAAACTAAACAACAGAACCCATGACCCACATTCATGTTCAATGACTCATGACTGACCTATTAAAGCTGACTAATAAATAGTAGAACCGCAATTCTAGTATGTGAATTACAAATTCTCCTTAAGAACAAGTCAGATGCACGTGTCAACATAGTGCAATGGAGACTCTCTCTATGCATATGTACACGTATCCCTCTACATGGTTGTTTCCCAGAAGGTAGTTGTCGTGGGTATATTTCGTGCAAATTTTTTTTGAGAATTTTTAGCCTTACTCTCATTGGCCTACAACCACACACCGAATACCATGAAGCTCTCTTGGGTTACAAATCGTTGTCAAGCATCTCTTTGACCTCAGCAATGGATGACCTTCAACTTTCAATGATAGTGCATATGCCTAGGGGAAAAAAGGTTTTGGACATATGACCATGGCCATGGACTGCTAACCTTAAGTTAGTCAATCAACATACATTCCCATTGAAATGCACAATTCACTATATTTTTTATGTTTATATGCTCTCATGGTCTTAAACACCGCAAATCCCTAACATCCCTTGGAAGGCCCTCCTATAATCACGTCATCTCATTATCTCTCAAGCCCATCCCATGTACATATTTGGCAAATATATTTATCACTAATTCTTTAGTCAATGATTTGCTAACATTATATGTCAAGAGATAAGCTACCTCAATCTCTCGTGCTCAGATCTCGTTGCGAGTGTGATAATAGTCTGCCATGTTATGCTTAGATTTCCTATGAAACCCTAGCTTCTTAGTCATGCAAATCACTGCCTCATTATTATAAAAGATCCTCATATACAAATACCTTACTGGATCAAACTTGAGCTAATAAAGGATTTCTTTAACTAGATGGCTTCTTTTGTTAACTAGATGGCTTCTTTTGTTGTAAGACAAGAAGCTACATACTCTGACTCTATACTCGATATGACATTTTGTCATGGACTTCGAGTGGACTTGAGCGTGTCCCATAGCATTGCATATAAAGCTTTGGTATAATGCAATGGGTAATGACTCATTAGTTTGTGTGGAGGTTGAACATTCATACTTTTCCCTCTCATGGAATCAACTTCACCCGCCAAGCCAAAATGGAAAAACTTAAAAGGTAGAGAAATTAATCAGAAGAAAAAGATTAATCAGAAAAAAGACGAATCATTTAATAGTGAAGTTGTTTTTTTATATATCAGGAAAAAGATGGGTGGTTTAGTATCTCCGGAGAGTCTCCTAATTGTTCCAGAGCAACTAGAAAGAGATTATTTAACCAGAAAGAATTCAGTTTAGGTGGAGGATAACTATCCAGAAGTTTTCGCAACTCCATCATGTACGATGGAATCATCAAAGATTTAATATTTTCTAACTTTGTATATAACTCACTAGGGACTCATGAAACAAAGAGAATATATGTATGAACGAGATATCCATGGCCTTTTATTTGATTGATCAAGTTAGGAATTTTTTTCTTCTAATTGATTGTCTATCACAATCACAACACCTAAAAACTTTCATTTTAAATTGAAAAGGATAAGAACAGAAAAAGAGAGACAAGAAATATAAGAGAGATCGATGGATAATAACAAAAGTACAGAAATAAGAGCCACAAAATATGAGAAAGAGAAAGAGAGAACAACATGGTGTACACCATTGATGTCAATTAAAGGATTATCACCAACCATGTAGAAGGGTTTTCAATGGTTGCTTAGATGCACCATAACCATTGGCCATACGAGGGTCACAATATAACACCAAGAGCGTGTTTTTTTATAATTAGTTTTCTGAAAGTTAGAACTTACCTATTATTGTTAGTTTTTTGTATTCGATTAAAAAATGGTAAGGTAAATAAAGAACTTACCTATCATTGTTCATGGTCCGAACTTATCATGTAAAAAAATTTCCGACGAAAAGGTCGGAACGTAGAAAAGGGCAGTTTATATCAAAACTTCCCCCGATAAAAGCCCTAGGTTTACTCAGCCACTCACCCACCCACCCTCTCTTCGCCGCTCAGCAAAACAGCAGCTCCACTGCGAAAGTTCTCTCGCTCTCTCTTCCCAGTAAAGGCAGCCTCTCGCCCAGTACTATTCGCGGCCTTGCAACCTCAACAGGTACCTCCAATCAGTGAGTTCTCTGTTGATTTTACATTTTTTCTTCTTTTTTTCTTACTGATTTCGGATTTCTCTGTTAACAACATTGTTCTCAGGGTTTTTTTGGGTGGAAACCATATAAAAACATTTCTAGTGTTTAATCTACTTATTTTTGTATAATTTCCTATGTTTGAATGTAGTATTAAATTGGTTTAATAGTTTTCTATGTTGTAAATCGAGTTCTAAGGCAATGCAAAAGCTTTATTTCGTGATTTTTCTATGTTGTAAATCTAGATTCAGGGTTAACTGATTGTTTTGAGTGCTTGACATCAAGTTCCCTGACAATCTATCCGTATTAGAGTGCTTGTTGGTTGTCTGCATGATAAGATATTAGAGAGCTTGTTGGTTGTCTGCATGATAAGAATATGGATGAACAATCATTTGATAGTTTGGGTTCTTGTTGGAATCAATATACTTCATTCCAGACTGCTGTAATTTTGATTAGCTTGATTCACTGTGAGATTGCTACGTTAGCATCATCCTAATTCATGCAAACCTTAAAATTTGTTATATTGTTTTTATTATGGAAACAATCCCATAAAAAATTGAAAAAATTGAATTAGAGCTCCAAGAATGCTCAACCCTCAATTTTGGACAAATGCAAAAGATTTAAATCTTTTGGAGCTCCAAATCGAATATTATTTAGAGAACCCACTCCAAAGATAGTTTATTTGAAAAAGAGGATTAGAAAAAACAAAGACTTACTTGATTCGGATTTGCAGATTAGCTTGAGTAGTCCGTCAAAAAAGTAGTTTTGATTAGCTTGGGTAATTCATATTTTTCTGTATCTCTCTCCTCTACCTCCTCTCCTACTTGCTTGGTTCAAATCTCCACAAAAAACCATATTCTCTTCTCCTAAACTCATTCTCCAATTCAACTGCAGATTGTTTTGGTAATGGGGTAAGGCTTTGAACACCACCACTCTGATCCTTCACTCCCAAACCTATCAGACTATGAGACCACCATCCCCAACTTCTTCGAGTTCTGCGATACCAAGCACAGGGACTATTGTCCATGCTATGACACCAAGAGAGAGAAGAAATTTGACACCCATATGCTATTTTTCAGAGACTATTCTCATCAAATGAGTGTTATTGGTTTTAGTTTTGTAGGCCTTCTATCAAGAAACTTTAGTTTTTGGGAATGGTCATAGTCAAATTTGGAAATTGGAACATGGTTTCGGGTTCATAATAAATGAGGATTTGGTTTCAGTGCTCTTATTGAACATTGATTTCCGAAGTGATTAACTTTCCCTTCATGGCTAATTAAAATGTTGTTTGTCGTTTTTTCTGTATTTCTGTTTAACTAATCCATGTCACATCCTTATTTGAGAAATTGCTCGGCTGTTGTTTGGGTGACAATTCAATTTATCCATTAACCATTTCAATGCCTTTTAGAAAATTATTGCTGAGTTATTGAGAATATTATGCTCTCTTTTGTTATGCTTTATTTATGGTTCAATAGTATAGGGTGGTTATATTTCTGGTTGACCATGTACATTTCCAACATTGTCTTTTTTTGCATCCTTGGGAACCTTTTGTGTGCTAAATGCTAAACAGTTCAGCATGTTGAATTGTGGTCAACGAATTCTTATTCTGATCTTTGAATTGTGGTCAAATGCTTAACAGTTCTGCATTCTCGTTGTTGTAGAACTTGGTTACTGGATTGTACTTTGAGCTTCCAATGATTACTAAAATTCATTGTGGTACTTTGTTCACAATTGTCGATTCTCTCCCATAGTTCTCTTTTGATTCTCATTAGTTACAATTCATGATTCTCATTAGTCACAATTCATGCTTATCTGAAAACCTGTGAAGTTTAGTTGCTATTGTTTACTAGCTTGCTTGTTTTCATTCCTGAATTTGTTCTTCACTCAATGGTTTCATTTGTTCCAAGTATTTATTGAAATTGCTTTGCTTTTTTTCTTTTTGAAATTGCTTTGATATACAGCTATGATGTGGGTTCATGAAATCTGATATATTTTTCTATGATACACAGCTATGATGTGGGTTTGTGAATAAAATGCTGAATGTTAGTAGAATTGAGAATAATCTTACTTACCTTTTGTTATTTTTTATTTTTGGGTTTGTTCAGTTTTACTTAGCTCCAATTATGAATGCTGTAGCTACCATGCTCTTTTTGTTACCTTTCTATTTTTAATGAATAATGCTTATGGGTTCATGAATATAATTGGTTGGGCCCTTAGGGTTTCCTACTTTTGTCGTTGCGATTAGAGAGAGAGAATTTTAGGGTTTTTGGATTCACAAAAATTCACAGCTTTGAGGCGCTCATAACCCTCGGCCTCTGGGAGCAGTCATGGTAATCTCTCTCTCTCCATTTCGATCAGCAGCCATGGTAATCTCTCTCTCTCCATTTGTGCTAGATCAGTCATGGACTGTCTCTCTATCTCTACCTGTATTGGAGAAGACACAGTAACAATAAAAGTTTCTTTCTCTCTCTAATGTGTATTCATTTCTCCTTTTCTATGCAAACAGGTGAAGTATTCCAGGGAGCCGGACAATCCAACTAAATGTAACACTCCAAATCTATAGATTATTTCTGCACTAGGTTCTATGATAAAAGTTTCATTTTGTAATTTCTTGGGGATTATATTGTTTGTGAATTTGTTAATCTGCTCCCTCATGCTCTTATTTTCGGTCTTTCCATAAACTAGTGATGTATTTTCTAGTTAGGGTTTTAAGAAGATGATTTATTTTGTGATGTGGTTCATTGCTCTCTTGTTTCAGCTTGCAAGGCCAGAGGATCTGATTTGAGGGTTCACTTCAAGGTATTTAAATATTCTATTTTGTTCTTGTAGTTTTCATTTGGTGATGTCCAGCTACGTTTGTGATCGAACAGTGTTTGTCGCAGCAAACTCTCTACTGTGATGAGTTTTTTGCTCTTATATTATTTTCTTTTGTAGTTTATCTTGATTGCCCATAATGAGTTTGCTTTACTTATGTTGTTTGTTTGTATATTATTTCTCTGTATCACTTAGGTTGCATTTGTTATGGCTGAATTATTGAATATATTAAAGCTGAAAATGGCTGCTGTGTGGTTCCAATTGTTGTATACTTGACTGGATTGAAATTGTGTAGCATTTTAATAAACAGAAACGTAAAAAAGGACTTTAGCTGAAAATGATTCGTTGTTCTGGTTGGATATGAAGAGTGCTAATTTTGTTTGAGTCTGGGATTATGTAGCAAGTGTACACCGCACTCTAAGTGCAACATTTTTTCTCAGCCATTGTTCTTTCTATTTCCTTTTAGCATCATCTAGTTAGATGTTTCAAAAAATTGTTTTGTTCTTGTATCTTTGCATGCCATTTGTGATTGAAGATCTGTTTGCATAACCTGAGGGAAAAAAGCAGAGGTCTGTTCTTTTCTCCTCTGAGCTGGCCTCTCGTAAACTTCAGGGAAATTATTGCACCATTATTGGGTGAACCTTTGTAAACTATACTTGTGAATAAAGGTTCAATAAATGTTGCGAAATTATAATTACTAATATAGGTTTGTCTCTTTGATGTGGATAACTCGATCACGGTTCATAGATATGGTTATCTACTGAGATTTGTGGTTGTGACTGAGTTTGCATCACTACTTTGTTGTCAACTTGAATAATTAAACATATTATCAACACTTGTATCCAAAATTTAATCATTAGACACATTTGATAGCTTTTCAAAAGATGTTTGATTTGGCCTTAAATGTTTTTGGTACTCTTTTAATTAGGTCCTTGGGATAAACCTTTGTGGGATAGGACTGTGAACTGGGGTATCAATAACGCAGTGCTAAATGATTGATATTTTCATGGAATATTATCAAAGATATTTTTTTATCCCAAATTGTAATTTCAATACTATGACTTAATAAAAACGGATTGCATTGGCTGCTGTGGGGTTCCGATTGTTATATACTTGACAAGATTCAAATTGTGTGTCATTCTAAAAAAATAAAAGGAGTAAAAATGTACTTTAGTTGAAAATGGTTTGTTGTTCTTGTTGGATGTGAAGAGTGGTAATTTTGTTTAGTCTAGCACTAAGTGCAATGTTCTTGCTCACCCATTCTTCTTTTTATTTCCTTGAAGCATCATCTAGTTGGATCTTTCAAAAAATCATTTTGTTGTTCTTTTATCTTTGCATGCCATTTGTGAGTTAAGATCTGATTGCGTAACCTGAGGGAAAAAAGCAGAGGTTTGTACTTTTCTCCTCTGAGCAAGCCTCTCGTAAACTTCAGGGAAATTATTTGCACCATTATTGGGTGAACCTTTGTAAACTATACTTGTGAATAAAGGTTCAATAAATGTTGCGACATTATAATTGCTAATATAAGTTTGTCTTTCTGATGTGAATCACTCGATCTCGGTTCATAGATATGGTTATCTACTGAGATTTATGGCTGTGACTGAGTTTGCATCACTACTTTGTTGTCAACTTGAATAAACATATTATCATCACTTGTATCCAAAATTTAATCATTAGACACATTTGATAGCTTTTCAAAAGATGTTTGATTTGGCCTTAAATGTTTTTGGTACTCTTTTAATTAGGTCCTTGGGATAAACCTTTGTGGGATAGGATTGTGAACAGGGGTATCAATAACGCAGTGCTAAATGATTGATATTTTCATGGAATATTATCAAAGATATTTTTTTATCCCAAATTGTAATTTCAATACTATGACTTAATAAAAACGGATTGGATTGATAAGTTGGAAATGGCTGCTGTGGGGTTCCGATTGTTATATACTTGACAAGATTCAAATTGTGTGTCATTCTAAAAAAATAAAAGGAGTAAAAATGTACTTTATTGGAAAATGGTTTGTTGTTCTGGTTGGATGTGAAGAGTGGTAATTTTGTTTAGTCTAGGACTAAGTGCAATGTTCTTGCTCACCCATTCTTCTTTTTATTTCCTTGAAGCATCATCTAGTTGGATCTTTCAAAAAATCATTTTTTTGTTCTTTTATCTTTGCGTGCCATTTGTGAGTTAAGATCTGATTGCGTAACCTGAGGGAAAAAAGCAGAGGTTTGTACTTTTCTCCTCTGAGCAGGCCTTTCGTAAACTTCAGGGAAATTATTTGCACCATTATTGGGTGAACCTTTGTAAACTATACTTGTGAATAAAGGTTCAATAAATGTGGCGACATTATAATTGCTAATATAAGTTTGTCTTTCTGATGTGAATCACTCGATCTCGGTTCATAGATATGGTTATCTACTGAGATTTATGGCTGTGACTGAGTTTGCATCACTACTTTGTTGTCAACTTGAATAAACATATTATTATCACTTGTATCCAAAATTTAATCATTAGACACATTTGATAGCTCTTCAAACGATGTTTAATTTGGCCTTAAATGTTTTGGTACTCTTTTAATCAGATCCTTGGGATAAACCTTTGCGGGATGGGACTGTGAACATGGGTATCAATAACACAGTGCTAAATGATTGATTTTTTCATGGAATATTATCGAAGATATTTTTGTATCCAAAATTATAATTTCAATACTAAGACTTAATAAAAACCGATCGGACTTATAAGTTTGAAATGGCTGCTGTGGGCTTCCGATTGTTATATACTTGACTAGATTCAAATTGTGTGCCATTCTAAAAAAATAAAAGAAGTAAAAATGTACTTTAGTTGAAAATGGTTTGTTGTTCTTGTTGGATGTGAAGAGTGGTAATTTTGTTCGAGTCTGGGACTATGTAGCAAGTGCACGCCACACTCTAAGTGCAACGTTCTTGCTCATCCATTCTTCTTTCTGTTTCCTTGAAGCATCAACTAGTTGGATCTTTCAGAAAATCATTTTGTTGTTCTTGTGGATCTTTGCATGCCATTTGTGAGTTAAGATCTGATTGTGTAACCTGAGGGAAAAAAGCAGAGGTCTGTACTTTTCTCCTCTGAGCAGGCCTCTCGTAAACTTCAGGGAAATTATTTGCACCATTATCGGGTGAACCTTTATAAACTATACTTGTGAATAAAGGTTCAATAAATTTTTGTGACATTATAATTGCTAATACAAGTTTGTCTTTCTTATGTGAATCACTCGATCTCGGTTCATAGATATGGTTATCTATTGAGATTTATGGCTATGTCTGAGTTTGCATCATTACTTTGTTGTCAACTTGAATAATTAAACATATTATCAACACTTGTATCCAAAATTTAATCATTAGACACATTTGATGGCTTTTCAAAAGATGTTTGATTTGCCCTTAAATGTTTTTGGTACTCTTTTAATTAGGTCCTTGGGATAAACCTTTGTGGGATAGGACTGTGAACATGGGTATCAATAATGCAGTGCTAAATGATTGATATTTTCATGGAATATTATCAAAGATATTTTTTTATCCCAAATTGTACTTTCAATACTATGACTTAATAAAAACTGATTGGATTGATAAGTTGGAAGTGGCTGTTGTGGGCTGTTGTGGGGTTCCGATTGTTATATACTTGACAAGATTCAAATTGTGTGTCATTTTAAAAAAATAAAAGGAGTAAAAATGTACTTTAGTTGAAAATGGTTTGTTGTTCTGGTTGGATGTGAAGAGTGATAATTTTGTTTGAGTCTGGGCCTATGTAGCAAGTGCACACCACACTCTAAATGCAACGTTCTTGCTCACCCATTATTCTTTCTATTTCCTTGAAGCATCATCTAGTTGGATGTTTCAAAAAATCATTTTGTAGTTCTTGTGTATCTTTGCATGTCATTTGTGAGTTAATATCTGATTCCGTAACATGAGGGAAAAAAGCTGAGGTCTGTACTTATCTCCTCTGAGATGGCCTCTTGTAAACTTCAGGGAAATTATTTGCACTATTATTGGGTGAACCTTTGTAAACTATACTTGTGAAAAAAGGTTCAATAAATGTTGCGACATTATAATTGCTATTATAAGTTTGTCTTTCTGATGTGAATCGCTCGATCTTGGTTCATAGATATATGCTTGTCTACTGAGATTTATGGCTGTGACTGACTTCGCATCACTACTTTGTTGTCAACTTGAATAATTAAACATATTATCATCACTTGTATCCAAAATTTGATCATTAGACACATTTGATAGCTCTTCAAAAGATGTTTGATTTGGCCTTAAATGTTTTTGGTACTCTTTTAATCAGGTCCTTGGGATAAACCTTTGTGGGATAGGACTGTGAAGAAGGGTATCAATAACACAGTGCTAAATGGTTGATATTTTGATGGAATTTTACTGAAGATATTGTTTATCCAAAGTTATAGTTTCAATACTAAGACTTAATAAAAACCGATTGGATTAATAATCTTCACAACTTTCCAAATCTTCCACTGCTAGTTATATAATATTGTTTTCTCTCACAGGAAGGTTATAATCTACTGTTTACCCTGCATGATATGCCTTGTTTAATGTAACTATTTTATTGTATTTTAATCCATATGCAAACGAGACATGGATTAGTTTTTGATATTATTAATGTATCTAGATACTTGATCCATTTCAACGTGGATCTTCCCTGGTTTATTTTGTCATTATTTTTTGAGATTCATACATAGTGTTGGTGCTATAATCCATAAGCAAATGGGACTTCGATTTACTGGTTCCAATGTTTCAAAGTGAGGTTTGAATTGAAATTTTTCTCAGTCATGTTACCCACTCCATTAATTTGTTGCTCAATGTATAAGTTATCCATGCGACCAAAATGCAAGTACGTTTCTTCATATTGTTTTACTGTGCCAAGCGCACTATTTAGTATGAATCAAGTAAATTATTATTGTTATTTTGAGTTCAAAAGTGATACTGGTGTTGCTGTTTCTCATATCTGATTTCTTTCAAAATGAGGTCTAGATTGGTTTATGATCTGTTACTGTAGTTGACTGAAGATCCTACCATGAATTGGGGATTTTCTAAGTTGTCCCTGAACCCAACTAAAAGCAGGGACCTGTTTTTCTTATGAACTGGTCTCTAGTAAGCCGCATGAAATTGCTTGCATTATTATTTGGCGAGTCTTTGTACGCACACTGGTAACAAAAGATTCATTGAATGGTAAGACATTTCGAATCTCTACTGTTACAATGGAAACTGGTTGAGTGCTAGTCCATTATAGCTGATGGAAAAGGAGAAGATTACCTGCGCTAGTTTAGAAAAACTTTGATTTATTTCCAACTTTTTCTTGTAACCTATCTAAAGGTGGTGCAATGAAGTTCACACCGACTCAATTTCCTTTTTAGTTTCTTTTCAATCAGCTACACCATTAGTCCATTACTGTTGATAAACTTTGGTCCATTGATTAGCTAATCAATCAAGCTTATAAGAGGTGCATTCTTGCTGCACATTTGGAGGTTAGCAACTCTTAATTGTCGTTTTCAATCCTATGCTTCTGTGTGACATCATGTAAGATGGTTGTTCTTGTGTTGTATTTTAAGATGCTCTTTTAGTCTTAGGATATTTCATTGAAATTCATTTATTCTTCTTTCACTCCTTGTGAAGCTGGACATCACTTTGAAACTGAAGTTGGGGCCATACCTGATTTTAGTTAAGGAAGGCTTTGTGAAATTTGATTTTCAATCCATTCTCCTTTTTCTCTGTCAAAATGCATAAGATCGAAGTAGTATTTGCTATTGTATGTTATTGTAGTTTCATATAGGGGACTAAGGGAATGGAGAACCACCTGTATTGTTCCGCTTCTCGATCAGACCCTCCTCCTCCCTAATAAATTTTTGATTGATGAGCATTGTCTTGATCTACTCTATCATCACCATTTGCTCTGCCCTCAGACGTCTGAAATCCTATCATGTTACTTCTGAATGCCCTTTCTAAAGGTTGTGATTGAGAAAGACTTCCAAAGAACGCATTCTCGATCCAAAATTTGGCCAGATGACCATATTCTAATGCATCCTTCCCGTAGCGTTATGTTGTAATGTCAAACTTGGAGCAAAAAATAATGGCATTGCTTATCTCTCTCTCTCTCTTTCTGTCCTAAAAAGGGAAAAAGAAATGACAAAACAGAAGTCAGTAATTTGTGAAGTTTACCTTTTTGCTCATTTGACCCATTAGAAAAAAGTGTGTGCTGTTGCTCCAATCAGATGTCAGATTGTTGTATAAATTTTATGGCTCTGCTGCTGACTCAGTTGAAGATAGAAATTAGTATATCATTCTCTTTGTTGTACCTGAGAAAAAGCAGGGACCTGTTTCTCTTAAGACCCGGCCACTCGTAAGCCTAAGGGAAATTCAGTGCATTATTATTGGGTGAACCTCTGTATTTGTGCTGATTGCAAAAGGTTCAGTAAATAGTGCAACACTTCATATTATTAGCAGCATGCTTGAAAATTGATCTAAAAAAGACTGTTAAAAATATGCTTGAAGTTTGCTGCTCCAAAACATTGTTCTGGTCTGATATTGTGCGCCATATTCCTATGGTCATCAATCAAGTTTAGTTCGATAAAGATTGTCTACTGTAAACAGGTTTGGAGAATCTTGAATGATAACTTTATTTCTAAAGTTAAAAAGTTGGCTGTAATTATGTATGCTCCAGATTTTTTTCACTGTGCTCCTAGGAAAGATCTTTACCACGTTTTCTGCTATATTTTAAAATCTTCAAGAAAATAAAATAATATGCTGTATTTTATGTACATTCTAGAAGTTCAATAGTGTGATATCATCTTAATAGTGTAAGTCTGGAAAATCTTGAACGATAAAGTTGACTGTGATTATGTAGGCTCCATAATTTGCTTCATTTTCTTCCCCGGAGAGATCTTTACCATAGTTTCTGTTGTTTTTTGACATCTATTTATTGTGTATTTTATGTATACAAAAGTTGACTGTGATTATTTATGTAGGCTCCATAATTTGTTTCATTGTCTTCCCCGGAGAGATCTTTACCATAGTTTCTGTTGTTTTTTGACATCTATTTATTTTGTATTTTTATATATACACTAGAGGTCTTATGAATGGCATGTATTTGTGGCACTTTTTCAAAGAAAAACTGGAAATTGAATTTATTGGAAGAAGCTTATGGTAATTTGTGTGATATGAGGATCAACTTATGAGGGTTTTTACTCATGGCGTGACTTGTTTCTCTCCAGAACACCAGGGAAACCGCATTTGCTCTCAGGAAGCTCCCATTGGCCAAGGCTAAGAGGTATTTGGAGGATGTTCTTGCCCACAAGCAGGCCATCCCTTTCCGGCGCTTTTGTGGAGGTGTTGGGCGCACTGCTCAAGCAAAGAACCGCCATCCAAATGGACAAGGGCGGTGGCCTGTCAAGTCTGCCAAGTTCATCTTGAACTTGCTCAAGAGTGCTGAGAGCAATGCTGATGTATGCAATCCTCTCTCTCTCTCTCACACACACACATGCACACACACAAACACAAATACATGCGTGCTAGCAATCAAGCTTCTGTTTCATCACATCATCTCTCTCATATTCAGGCCTCTCTACCTTCTTCTCCTTAACCATGCTTCTTATTTATCTTTCCTAATAATTTCAGCATCCATGCTTGCTTGCTTGTTTTATAGTCTTTATTGGATTTTACTTGGTTACAAACTCAAGCTTTGATCTCTCAGCTTATATATTGTATTGATTTTTTTGCATTTCAATTTTATAGGTGAAGGGCTTGGATGTGGATACACTATTCATTTCGCATATCCAGGTGAATCAGGCTCAGAAGCAGAGGCGGCGAACTTACCGTGCCCATGGAAGAATCAACCGTAAGTTTCCTATCCTTTGATTTTATATCCTTAATTCCTTGTTTCTTCCAGTGCGGAGTGGGATTGTTGTGTTGAGCAAGGTTGAATTCTTTTTGATGAACAGCTTACATGTCCTCCCCCTGTCATATTGAGTTGATATTGTCTGAAAAGGAGGCACCTGTTAAGAAAGAGGTAATCATCCCTTTGAATCAGCTTCTACCGAGCTTAATGACATGGATTCTAAGAAATAGGATATGTATGCAATATTTGGAGAGTGTGTGTTTTGTATGTGTTTTTTCTTTTTTCTTTTTTTTTTGAAGTTTTGATGGGTTGCATTGATGATTGCAGGCTGAAACCGAAGTGGTGCTCAAGAGGACGAAGAAATCTCAAGCTCTTCGTAGTGGGGCTTCATCTTAAAGCTTTGCAGAGTAAGAGAGATTGGTATCGCGTCAACTTGAAGATTTACTCTGAGAGATTGACATCTTTTTTCCTTCTATTTGAATGGTCATGTTTTTGCAACATTTCGTAAAGAATTTTGTGGTTGTATAAGGACCAAGAATTAGTCACCCAATTTGGAGAGATCTTTTCTTGCTTGAATTGGCTAGTTTGAGCCTTAGATCATATTTGGGTCATTGTTTTGGCTTGAGTGTCTTCCGTTGTGGACACCAATGTCCTTACATTGTAGGCATTAGTTACCACGAAAGTGTTTTAGAACTTTTGTTAGTAATGTGATTGTTTCATGACCTACTACTCTTTACCCAATGTTGGCGGCTTCGCTTTGGCCGAAGAGAGGCCGAAATCTTTGGATTTTCGGCCTAGTCTGAGGCAAAGCTCTAGTGCATCCCGCTTCAGCCCACTTCGGTCTGATTCGGGCATTTCGGCTGAAGTACAAAATTGTATTTTAAAAAAAAAACAATTATGTGTTTGGTCTGTTTTTGTGTGATTTGGCCTCTTTGCTTGAAGCTCCAGCCTAGATAATCATGATTATTTTGGATGTGAAGAAAAGAGTGAAACAATTCAGTTGATAGAGGGAGAGTAGTATACCCTTATGTGGATATTATCTCGCTCACAATGTTTATGTAAACATTTGTATTGCCCAATGGGTATAATCCATTCACCGTAAAATGGAAAAAGTTTATATAGAGTCGAGGTTTTAAACAATCAACTTTGAGCCTACCTTGAAAATTTCACTAGAAGAAATTGTTTTAATGCTGAAATATCTTCAAATTGATCATCTGGACATCAAAATGTATGGGCTTGAGAAAAAAATGGATTTCAGTTTTGGAAATAGTGCATTTTGTAACGCAATTTTGGACTGTCAATTTTTAAGATTCTTAAGTTTTCATAAATCTAGCGGTCTACACCATTGTTGTAGCTTTAAATTTTATGAATAAATATGGAAATATATTTGAAAGATGTCACATAGATTTTCAATCATGAAACCACATTTTTCGATACTATTTGAAGGTAGGCTCTAATTTGATTGTTTAGAGCCTAGGCTTGATACAAACCGCAGCCCTGTCAAATTAGTTCACCATATATTGAATGGTTTTATATTGAATGTTAAAACCAAGTGTGAGAATGGCATTGGATAATGGTAATTAATGTCTTATTGTCTAGAATGAGTGTAGCGGAGATGACGAAGTTGAGAAGGATGAGTAGTAAGACAAGAAGGGACAAAATTCGAAATGAATTTATTCGAGAGATTTTAGGTGTTGTATCAATAGGCGATAAGAGGAGAGAGAGTAGACTTAGATGAGTTAGCCATGTATACTTAGATGAGTTAGCTATGTATGGGCACAAGTGAGCGAATGTGTGTAAGCCCAACCAACCAAGTACAACACCACTTAAGAGGTGTGAGTTAGTTCAAGTAGGACTAAAAAAAGCAAGGGATAGGTCCAAAAGGATGTGGTTTGAAGTACTCCGAAAAGATATGGGGACTTATGGTCTCATTGAGGATATGACTATTACTAGAGCAGAATGGTGAACCAGGTGAAATGCTCAGTGATTTCGCCCGCAATGGCTCATGAGAGCCGTTGTGGTTTCCCGTGAATTTTGTATGAAAAAACGACGGCACCACACCTACTATGTCCATTTTGGTAAATCTACGCCGTCTGAAAAAATTGAATGGCGCCGAGCCTAGGCGAAAA